TGATTTTGTTTTAAAGGTAAAGTAGAACAATGTAGTAGAACATGATGTTGTGCACTTTTCGGCATTCCTAAGGCTCAGACATGGAAATATGGGCTGGTATTGTGCCAAAAATTGATGGGCTGCCAAATGGAGGCTGCAGGAACATGCATGGGAGGACTTTAACAAGAATTTAACCAGATTAACACCTAAAGACAATTATTTGTTTGCTCGAAATTATAGTAAAGGTGTGTCTCAGTTGAACTTTTACTTAATAAATGCACTTCAATGGTCAAATTAGCTGCATTTTGTTGGGGCGGTGCAGAGAAATGAAGCTGATTTGACGGTTGCTCCTTGTATGATCCCGGAGCTGGACGAAGGTGGCACTGTATGGCAAGCTGATTGTGTCATTAATAGCCACTTTTACCTATTACATGACACAACAGCATGTCATACAACTCGAGTGCCATCTAGTGGCTGAAAATGGTAGTGTTCAATATTTTCAGTCAGAATGAATGAAAATAGTCATGTCTCAGCCAAAAATTGGTTTATAAATATAGAAAAAAAACATAAATAAGTTGCTTCAGTGTATAAGTCACAGAGATACAAAAAACTGTAACTTATAGGCCAGAAAATATGGTATCTGGCAAACACCAGGTAATCACTGGACACCTACCACGTGTGTAACTTGCACTTGCCTGGTACTTATGGGGGATGTACCTTGTACATACAGGGTACATGTCTGGTATAGGTAATGCATTGCGACCTACTGGATGTTCTCAAAGGTGGAAACTAAGTAAGGTATTTTTCTAGAGTAAGGTGATTTCTTCCAGGACAGCCATGGTGACAGACTCATAACTTACCGACATCCGAGGCGATAAACAGGTTTCTTTTTTAGAAAGTGGATGATAATATCCTTTGCCGGCCCACTGAAGCGTTGGTCTTCAAACTTGCACGCATCCTCTAGAGTACGACGGGTCACCTCAGTGTTCTGCACCTTCTCTCTGAAATATTTAAAAGGCAACCGAGCAGCCACCATCTCATAAATGCTGCAGCCGAGAGCCCACCAGTCCACAGAGGTGCGGTAGTACTCCTGCTTCAGGAGCTCAGGAGCCATGTAGCCCGTTGTACCAGCCTGCATCACACAGGACACAGAGGAGGAGGAGAATGAAGGCAGAACAATCAGACAAATACAACCACAAAATAATAAAAGTTTTGGCATTATTAATACAAATACTCAATATTTATGTAAACGTTTTAAATGCTTTGGTTTATTCTCTAATGAGGTTAAGTCAGGTCATCTGGACGGATCTGCCCAGATGACCTGACTTAACCTCATTAGATGTATCTACCTGGATTATTGAGCATGCATCAGGATATTTGGCCTATTCTGTTTTAAAATTTAAATCAATCCATCCATCCATCCATCCATCCATCCAAGTTTAAATCTTAAAATATTATTCTAAAAATTGCCTTGTTCTAAACAAAATACTAGTGAACAAGAGTATTGCATACGGCAAGTTGTACGCACGTTGTACGCACGTTGTACGCCCATTGACTAACTATTATACAGCGATCTTTAGCAATGGTCTGGACAAGCAATGACCTTGCTTTAACTTGGACCATGATTTGTGACCTTGACAGGTGATGAAAAGTAAATGTAACACTCCGTCTAGTGATGATGCATATATATATATATATTTATAAAGTTTTGTTAAATTATCTTGAGCAGATCAGGAGTTATGGGCGGGACAAGAGAAAGTTTTCAGATGTACAAAGGTACGGACTAGTCGAGACTATACCATAATGAGTTGATGACTGTATAAACAGAGCCAAAGTTCAGACAATGTGTTGACCTTGACTAAGTTTAGCTTGAAGCTCCTAATAGTTATATTCAGTTTTGACCAAACTCTACCTGATGAAACAAAATTAAATAATAAAACAAGAACAAAATCATAGATACAGATATTGAATGTCCTTTGTCTAAAAACTTAATTATTCTGAATCTGTGATAATTCATTTGACTCATCCTAATAAAGACATGAAAAAAGCCGTACTGTATCTGACATTTGTAGGGCAAAGATTAGTTAGCTAATGCTTACAAAGCTTTGGGGGCTCCTCTTTACAGTTCTCCGTTAGTGCAGTGACCAACTGAGCACCAGGTCAGGCAACTTTTAATGGGATTACTCTGGTTTTCACTGGGTATTGCTCTCTGCACTGGCAGCTACAGCAGCCATCAGATCTATTCCTGGTAAGCTACTTGCAAGTAAACCTTGTAGTGGCATTAAAGAAGGAACAGAGTGCAGGTCTTACCAGAGTTTTACAGGTAAAGGGAAATCTACTGACCATGCTTGGTCACCAAGTTACGTTCTAGTTTGTACAGAATTTAATCGTCGCTCAAACAAAGAACTTAGTCAGACTAACATCAGACACTGACAGTGGGAGTTTCTGTAGATACTACTAACCCTTTGGCAGATCATTTTTCCATTTGGCAGCTCCACAGCCAGTCCGAGGTCTGACAGTCGACACTGGCCTTTACCATCCAACAGGACATTCTCAGGCTTCATATCACGGTACACAATGTCCATAGAGTGCAGGTGGAAGAGGCCAGTGACTATTTGTGCTGCGTAATAAACCACACGCTCCATGTGGATACCTCTCTCCCCTAACTCGTAGATATGAAACTTGAGGTCCCCTCCGGACATTAAGTCCATGACCAGGCACAGGTGGGTTTTGCTTTCATAGGCGTAGGCCAGGTTTACTATGAAGAGGCTGTTGACCTTTTCCAGGATGTGCTTCTCCAGAAGAGCCAGTTTCTCGCCACTTTTCTTCTTTAGACACTTCTTTTCAAGCTTCTTGCAAGCGTACATGTAGCCTGTGTGTTTCACCTGCACCGCACACACCTGCCAGACAGGGAACATTGTCAACATGTGTAAAAGTGATCAACTTTAATAAAAGGAGAGGGCTCTATAGTAAAATTCAATTCAATAATACTTTATTAATCCCAGAGGGAAATTATTTGTCGTTGTAACTCATTATCCTCATCTCATTAAGAGATGTTATAGATGCTGATGGCTGTAAGCAGGAAGGATCTCTTGTAAAGGTCCATCCCACAGTGGATCCTAAGAAACTGGCTGCAGATGCCGGCCAATCCGTCCACCCAGACTCGGCTGGCCTCTCGGTTCCCCCGGGTTGTAGGACCGCCTGAATGCTGGGCAGAACTCCTCCCAGAGCGATGGACACTCCTCCCAGCAGTCTGCCGAGCTCCTCGTCACTGTGGACAGCCAATTGTAGGTGCCAAGGGATGATCCCGTCCTTCCACTGTCATGAGCCGTGTTTCCTGCTAGTTCCAGGATCTCAGTGGTCAGGCACTCGAGCACAGCTGGCAGGTAGATGAGAATGCATCTACAGAACATCCTTTTCAACTCATTTGAGATTTGGGGCGGTAGTTGAGATATTATTTGAGCTTTTGAGATGTTAATCAGCTGCTGTTGGTTGTAGAAAACTGCCTTGTTGCCATGGTTACGGATAATAACATAACATCATCATCATCATAACATCATCATAAAAGTACATGAAACAGTATTATGAAGCGATTGACTAAGTTTAACATTTAATGAGTCATTCATTGAGTTTTTTTGGTACCTACCTCCCCAAAGCCACCTCTTCCCAAAGTCCTGAACTCATAAAAATATTTGTCAGTGATTTTCTGCTTCTCACACTCCTTCCACTGCAGAAACCTGTAAAAGAAAGGGCTCTTCAGGTATCCCATGAAAGGCTTGCCCCTCAAGAAGTCCCTTGTTGCCTCTCTGATCTGGTCCAGGGCTGCTTCGTCAAAGTTTTTGTCCGATAAAGCCTTGCACATTTTGACGTTCTCTCCTGTCAGGTAGGAAAGGAAAGTCTCAGACTGAGGATGACAGAACTTTAACAGTATTCTCTGTTTGACCTTCTCCTTGGTGCTATCCTCAGCAAAGCTCCAGTCACTCAGCTCTTCCAGGAACTCAGCAGCAGCCACGCATGGCGGATTGGACGTCAGCAGAAACTGCCGGAACAACTTCTTTCCAATGGGTTGTTGCTCGCAGAGTGACTCGTACGTCTTCACCACCTCCTGAGAAGCAGAGCACTTCTTGGGTTTAGGCAGCGTCAAGGCTACTCTCCATGTTCTCAGCTCAGAGGAATCACACTGCTGAGCTCTCAGGTAGGCTGTGTTGGCCACCAAACCGTCCAGTCCCAGCAGGTCACCCATACTGGATGTTGCCTGTGGTAAACTGGTAGGCAACTGATAAACTAAGAACACTTGAATTCACCCATTGAACTCTAGAAGTGAGCACGTCAAGCACCCACATCCTGCACATTTTCTTCCACCACGCTGACTGAGTCGCAGGGATTTGTTAGCAGCTAAGTGCCTTTGCACATCTTTGCAAATAGGGAAAGCAACTTACAAGGTTTGAACCTAAGAGGATTTAGGCCGCTCTATTCTTAGGAGATACAAAGTGCCTGTGTGCAACGCTCCAACAGCCTCCTTGACAGAACAAGGCAGCAGATCCAGTCTTAGAAAAAATATGTTCAACTGAGTATGAAATGAGAGAAATGAAGAAATACTTTAACAGATTTAGTCTGAGTGAACGTCAGGATCCAATTTCCCCATCAGAACGTTGTTCTGACAAAAGCTGAGCAGTAATAGGTTCACTTGTCAGGGATCATTAAAACTTATTAATGTAAATGTATTTATTTTAAAATGCGTACAATCAATTCTGTTGTAGCTTTTTTGTTTGTTTGTTTATTTTGTTGGATGTGTCAGTTTAAAAAATAGTTAATTTTTGCCTGGACTGATATGATAATGGTTAGTCAGTGTGGAACGACCCCATATAAAAACAACTCCACCCTACAGGTACAGTGGTGATGAATTTTTAGAATTTTTTTGTATTTCTGCATAAATATGACCTGAAACATCATCGGATTTTCACACAAGTTCTACAAGTGGATAAAGAGAACCCAGTTATCAAATGAGAGTAAACTATTACACTTGGTCATTTATTTATTGAGGAAAATGATCCGACATTACATATTTGTGATGGTAAAAGTATGTGAACCTTTGCTTTCAGTATCTGGTGTGACCTCCTGTGCAGAAATAACTACAACTAAATATTTCCAGTAACCGTTGATCAGTCCTGAACACCAGCTTGGAAGAACTTTAACCCATTCCTCTGGATGTTGGTGGTTTCCTCACATTAACTGCTGCTTCAGGTCCTTCCACAACATCTGGATTGGATTAAGGTCAGGACTTTGACTTGGCCGTTCCAAAACATGAACTTTATTGTGCTTGAACCATTCTTTGGTAGAACATCTTGTGTGCTGAGGGTCATTGTCTCGCTGCATGACCCACCTTCTTTTGAGATTCAGTTCATGGACAGATGTTCTGACATTTTCCTTTAGGGTTCTCTGATATAATTCAGAATTCATTGTTCCATCGACGATGACGAGCCGTTCTGGCTCAGAAGCAACAAAACAGGCTCAAACCATGATACTACCTCCACCATGTTTCACAGATGGGATAAGGATGCAGGAATGCAGTGTTGTCCTTTCTCCAAACATAACTCTTTTCATTTAAACCAAAAAGTTCTACTTTGGTCTCATCCGTCCACAAAACATTTTTCCAACAGTCGTGATCTTTTCTGAAACTGCAGACGAGCAGCAATGTTCTTTTTGGAGAGCAGTGGCTTCTCCTTCAACTCCACCATGAACCATTGTTGTTCAGAGTTCTCCTGATGGTGGACTCATGAACATTAACATCAGTCAATGTGAGGGAGACCTTCAGTGGTTAGAAGTTACCCTGGAGTCCTTTGTGACCTCAGACTATCCCACACCTTGGAGTGATCTTTGTTGGTCCACCACTCATGGGGAGGGTAACTATGGTCTTGAAGTTCCTCCATTTGTCCACAATCTGTCTGACTGTGGATTGGTGGAGTCCAAACTCTTTACAGATGTTTTGTAACATTTTCCAGCCTGATGAGCATCAACAACTCTTTCCCTGAGCTCCTCAGAAATCTCCTTTGTTCCTGCCATGATCCACTTCCACAAACATGTTGTGAAGATCAGACTTTGATAGATCCTGTTCTTTAAACCAAACAGGGTGCCCACTCACACCTGATAGACTGAAAACACCTGACTCTAATTTCACCTTCAAATTAACTGATAATCCTAGAGGTTCACATACTTTTACCATCACAAATATAATATATATACAATATAATATTGAATTATTTTCCTCAATAAATAAATGATCAAGTATAATGCTTTCGTGTCATTTGTTTAACTGGGTTCTCTTTATCAACTTTTAGGACGTGCGTGAAAATCTGATGTTTCAGATCATATTTATGCAAAAATATAGAAAATTCTAAAGCGTTCAAACTTTCAGCACCACTGTACATCTCAAAAAACCAGAGAAAACGCCAGAAGCATCTTACCAGGGCTAAGGACTTCAGAAAACCCAGTGGACCAGCACCATCAGATGACTTGGCACCAAACCATCACTGACTGTGGAAACTTCCCAGTGGACTTCAAGCAACTCTTCCTCCAGTCTCTGGGACCTTAATGTCCAAATGAAGTGCACATTTAACTTTCACCTGAATAAAGGTCATTGGACCACTGAGCAACAGTCCAGTTCTTCTGCTCCTCAGCAGGTAAGACACTTCTGATGTCTCTGGTTCAGGAGTGGACTTGAGGAACGCCACATCTGTAGCTCATGTCTATTCGTCTGTGCATAGTGTGCTTATGGTTCAACTTTATCACAATATTATAATTTTCTTAGACATTGAGGTTTGGTTTGTCATTATTGATAAGCCATAATCATCAAAATTACAAAAGCTTTGAATACTTCACTTTATGTGTAATGAATCTGATGTGGTTGACAAAAATATTGAACCTTTTCACAATATTCTAATTTCTTGACATGCACCTGTGAGCAGATGCAACGTGGTTCATTTGAACTACTTACAATGCTCAGACTAGCTGATCACTTGTCTGGTCAGAATTATTTCATAAATGTGAGTATGTTAAGAGCCACCTACAACAGGTAAGATGTTTATAATCTTTCCATAAAACGTTCTTTCAAAAATGTCCAACCACTTTGCCTTATATTTTGATTTACAATTATAAATTATTGCAAGACAAAGTTAAAAACACGCACCAAGTAAATTCATGAGAATTACAGTATGAAACAGGCGCTTCTCATCTTTGACTCCCTCTCAGGGTGAAGTTAACAAAACTTCCCAGTCTCATTGTGTCAGGTACACAGCTCATTCCTTCTCATAAAAATATTCTCCGAGCAGGAAACCTAATGTAGTTTTGGATATTTGGTACTGCACCACAATGCTTTACCAACAAACTTCACTGAAAACGTACCTGACACTTAAAAGTCACAGATTTTTGACTGCAATGAGCTAAAACTTAATCCCGCGTCAGGTTTTAGTACTTGCAGGTTTATGTTTCTGGAGATGTGATTTAAAATACAGACCAATCTTTGCAGGGATATTCTCACTTCCATTATTCCAAACTAAAATGTTGGTTACATAAAGTACCATATACGTTGACAACCATTTATAAAGGATTAACACCAAGCAAGGATTACAACTATTCACAACGCTTTATTTTTTAAAAGGAAAGCCACAGACAAGATGTGACAAAACCCCAAACAATTCATTCGTCTCTTCTGGACTCCTGATCCCTTCAGCGATCCATCTGCGCAGCCTTTAACTTTTCCAGTCGCGCTCCTCCGACACCAGGAAATGCACTCGTAAGGAAGAGGACAGCGCAGGGATCACCGACCGCTGCCTCTCACCACTCTCAGGTGCAAACATGCACAGTCCACCTGGATGTTGCGCTCATTTGCCGATCCTCTGAACCACCCAGTCTTGTTGGCAGAGAGGACAGCGATTGTTCTGCTTCACCCAGAGCGACATGCAGCAGTTGTGGAAGGAGTGATTGCACTCTCCCCATACGACTGTAAAAGAGAAAACACAGGAGCAAGTGAAAAGACAGACCGCACAAAAAAGAAAATGATGACGCATTAGCAAATAGAAAACAGAAACTGTGACGTTAAAGGGAGACGTCTGTTTGCTGATGTGTGGGACTTTTAAAGAAAAAGTTGTGCAGCTTCTGTTCAAAACATTCAGTTTTCTTATAAACTGTCAGCGTCCTGGTAGTGAAACTGATGCGTGTTAACTCTGACATGAATTATAACAACAAGGGTGATCAGCAATTTCCTCAGACTAAACAGTTCGCATGCTGTCATTTTGTCTTTAAATGTATCCTGACTTGATATCACTTCATACTTGCTTTTATTTACAGGAAGACCTTTATGCCTAATTTGTTTCCATGTTCCTTTTTTAGTCATTGATTTTAAATGTAATGTTTTGTCTGAATCTATACCATTTTTAAATTATTTGTGCATTTATAAGGCATGCTGATGGGATTCTTCAGGAGCATGCACTTTTACAAAGCCGACTCAAACTATTTTACTGAATGTATTTGAATATATGATGAGTTATTATTTATTTCTGAGCCTTTTATTAAAAGTGAAGAGTAAAATTTACTGGATGAAGCCAGAATTAAGAAGAATTTTTCAAGCTTTTATAAATCCTGACTAGTGCACGCACTAAAGAAGACTTCCCATTCCCTATGCATTAAAAAAAAAAAACATTTGTTTTTCATATTAAAAGAGTGATAAAGACAAACACAACAAAGTAACAAGTCATAAATATAATTTAATGCAAATACAATTTGCATCATACACTCAAAGTCTGCAGACAAATCCACTAAAATGTAAGAACTGTTTTAATAAAGTGAACTGTCTACCAGCCTTTTAAACCTATTTTAATAAAATGCACATAAATCCAGCTTTGCCTTGTTTGCATGGACGTGAATATTTATTAGCAGGCTCGTTTACAGATTAGTTTCACTGCTAGCTTGTTAACTTGGTGAGTATTTGTGTTTTGAGCAGAAAATGCCTTACCAACACAGTCCTCTTGTTTATTTTCCGCCTGACATCGGAGGCACGCGTCTGTAAAACGTGAATTGTTTATTAGTGTTTTTACTGCTAGCCAAGTTAGCATCATTAGCATGCGTAAGCTCCGGACTCACCCATCACCTGGACACGACAAATGGCACAGGTGTCGCACTCAACGTCCCAGCTCCACATCGCCACCGCATTCCACTTCTTCAGGGAAAACATCTTGTCCCCGCCCGACTTTGAGCTCGAAGACGTGCTGTGCGAGAGGACCAAGCCCGGCTCGTCGCCGTCGTCCATCTCTGCCGCTAACGTTAGCTTAAAGTTAGCTGCGCTAGCTTAGCTAAAGCTAAACAAAAATGGAAGAAACACACCGGCGCCGTTAGCTCCGATGCTAGCTGTGTTAGCACGTTCTCGACAGAAGAGGGCGCTGTTTGTCAGGATTAGGTAAGAATAAAATAGAATAGAATAGAATAAAATAGAATAGAATTTATTGTCATCATAGAGTGTACAACGAGATTATTAAGCAAATGTAGACCAACTAGGTTCCAAAATAAATAAAAAAAACATACTGAAGAATATATAAGAATGTATCCTGATGCATGCTCATAATATAAGAAAGTACAGTATATACAGAGGTGGATATTGCACCGTGATGTGATGTTCAAGTACAAGATATGAAAATGAAATTTTCACTTTGCTGAGATAGAGCTTGTTCAGTGGACTACAGTTTAAACCGTAGCAGTGGAAGCAGCAGTCAGAGTCAGAGAGTCAGAGTTTCTTTATTGTCATTCGCACCTCATGTGGTACATGTGGTGGAGCGAAATTATGTACACGGGGTCCCAGTTACATCCAACAATAAAATGTCTAAGAAAAACAGTAAAAACATCTAAGATATGAACTAAGAAAAACATCAACTAAATATACACTAAGCACTCATAACATAAAACATTGAACATCAGCACAAACATGAACATGAGTCTGTGAGCAGATGTGCACGCATGAACACATCAACATTGAAACAGATCAGCAGCAACATGAAACAGATCAGCAGCAACATGATATGGTTTTTCACAGTGATTATTCTAGTTAGAGATTCATGAGTCCAACAGCCTCAGGGTAGAAGCTGTTCCTCAGTCTAGTGGTTCTACACTTAATGCTCCTTAACCTCCTTCCTGAGGGGAGTGGGGCAAAAAGTGTGTGTGCTGGGTGGGTGGGGTCCTTCATGATGCAGGTGGCCCTCTTCCTGCATCTGGAGGTGTAGATGTCTGTGATGGTGGGGAGACTGATTCCAACAGATTTCTGTGCAGCCTTCACCACTCTCTGCAAAGCTTTTCTTTCTGCAGCTGTGCAGCCTCCATGCCACACATTGATGCTCGAGCACAGGATGCTCTCCACTGCACACCTGTAGAAGGAGGTGAGGACTGAGCTTCCCAGACCAGCTCGCCTCAGCCGTCTGAGGAAGTAGAGTCTCTGATGAGCTTTCTTGATCAGGCTGGTGGTGTTGTTGCTCCAGCTGAGGTTGTCATTCATGTGTACACCCAAGTACTTGTAGCTGGAGACCACTTCCACCGCAGATCCTCTTATGTTCAGGGGGGTGTAGGTGTTTTTGTTCCTTCTGAAGTCCACAATCATCTCCTTTGTCTTCTTCACGTTGATGTGAAGGTTATTCTCTCTGCACCAGCTCTCCAGGTGTTCCACCTCTTGCCTGTAGCTGGACTCATCATTGTTTGTGATGCATCCCACCACCGCTGTATCATCTGCAAACTTTACAATGTGACAGCCTGGATGGGTAGCTGCACAATCATATGTGAGCAGAGTAAACAGGAGGGGGCTCAACACACATCCCTGAGGGGAGCCAGTGCTGAGGGTTATGGTGGAGGAGGAGAGGTTGTGGATCCTCACTAACTGTGGTCTGTTTGTTAAAAAGTCTAGTACCCAGTTGCAGATGGAGGGGCTTAGTCCTAGTGTGGATAGTTTGTCCATCAGGGTTTGGGGGATCATGGTGTTGAAGGCGGATGTGAAGTCCACAAAGAGCATACGGACGTAAGAGTTTTTCTGCTCCAGGTGGTTGAGTGCAGTGTGGACCACAGAGGAGATTGCATCCTCTGTTGATCGGTTCTCACGGTATGCATACTGATGAGGGTCCTCGTTGATGTTGATGGTTGTTTTGATGTGAGTCATGACCAGTTTTTCGAAGCATTTAGCAACTATCGGGGTGAGGGCCACTGGCCGATAGTCATTCAGACCAGTCACTGTAGAGCTTTTTGGGACTGGGATGATGGTGGCAGTCTTCAGGCAGGTGGGAACTGTCTCCAGGGTAAGTGAGGTGTTAAAGATGTCTGCCAGCACCTCACAGAGCTGATCAGCACATTCCTTCAACACTTTTCCGGGGATGTTGTCTGGGCCAGTTGCTTTGTGCGGATTAATCCTCCTGAAGGTACTCCTTACTTCTGCTGAGGTCACGCTGAGATGCTCTTCATCCGGTGGTGAGGTGAGTCTGGTGCAGTGGTGGTATTGATAATTATTTCCCTTCTTTCGGCTGCTCTCTTCCTCGGGGGCTTGGCGATAGCTTTTACGCTGGATTCCTGATGCTACCACAGACCACCGAGCTACCACAGCCCTCTGTGTGGAGCAGAGGGCTGCCATTCAGGCACCCAGAGGAGCAGATGGTGGAGATTAAGGGTCTTGCTCTAAGGCACAGAGTGAGACAAATGAGGGTGGAGGCAGGTGTGGGTGCTTAATCTTTCCCACCCACATTTTTTATGTTTTGGGTTCTGGTGGTCGAACCGGCAACCTTCCGATCACAGGCTCGCCTGCTCTAACCACTGTACCAACACTCCCCCAGGTTGTATTGATTAATATATTGCACATTATTGTTATGTTATTGGTGAGAAGGAAGTGTCAAAGACCACGAGGAGGGAAACGTGTCGGGAGACAGAGGGAGAAAAGGAAAGTCAAGAATGTAGGACTGAGGGTGGCAACTCTAAATGTGGGGACAATGACAGGCAAAGGTAGAGAGCTGGCTGACATGATGCTGAGAAGGAAGGTAGATGTTTTACAAAGGTACAAAAGGACAAAGTCCTTTATTTGCCATTAGTGCACAGAACAATCCAGGCACATTGGAATTCTTGTGCAGAGCTCTCAGTCATAGTCAAAACACTGAAACAACACTAAATAAAATAAAAATAAGAACAAAGTGGTTTTTATCTACACTGCACATAACGCAAACCATGTCACATGACAAGTGAAGTTAGCTAGTGTGGTGTTATTGCACCTAATCAGAAGTTGTGTTTTTGCCATCAGTCTGACTGTGGCAGAGAAAAACAAAACTTTTACTATGGGTGATGATGCTATCTGCTCTACTGTCTCAGGTTATATGAACATTATTTTGTGTCTGATAAGGGAGTGAGCTGGATGGAGTGAGTCCTTGATGACACCAGCTGCTCTTTTTTGACAGTGTTGTACATACGGTACATGCATCAAGTCCATTGAAGGAAGTTTTGTTCCTGTGATCCTCTCATCAGCCTTTATGACTCTTTGCAGTGTCTTTATTTCTGCTTTTGTGGTGTTCCCATACCAGACAGTGATGTTTGTGGTTAAGATATTCTCTATCAGTCCTCTATAGGTCTGAGTGAGGGTGCTGGTTCAGACCTGCTTTCCTGAGCAGCTTAATGAAGTAAAGCCTTTTGCTGGGCTTTTTTCACTGACTGGTGTTGAGAGACCAGCGCAGGTCCAACATAACCTGCTGTCCTAAGAATATGGCTGCCAGCTCCTACCTCACTCCCTTTATTGATGAGAGGCTGTAATGTGGGAGGGTTCTTCCTGAAGTCCAATATGATTTCTTTGGTCTTGTATGTACTGAGGATGAGGTCGGTCTTCTCTCTATATGTTATTGTTGTCTGCCAGAGTCCTGCACCCTGACTCGTTCCCCTCCTGGATGAGCCCCAATAAAATGGTGTTGTCAGCATATTTAACAACAACCATATGGTGCTGTGTGGAGACACAGTCATAAGTACAGGGTAAAGAGTTTGCGGCAACAGCCCTGCAGGGATCCTGTGCTGACTGTGGCTTCAGCAGACACCCGTCCTCCCATTCTCACCACCTGTGGTCAGACATGTCTCTGTCTCCCCCTGTCTCCCCCCGCACTCCCAGTTTGAGTTTGGGGAGCTCTCAAAAGAATGAAGTAGGGGACGGCAGTAGGACCTGATGACATACCAGTGGAGGTTTGGGAATATCTTAAATGTCTTGGAGAGATGGCAGTAAGGTTTTTGACTCAAATATTCAATTACATATTTGAGGGTGAGAAAATGCCTGAGAACTAGAGAAGAAGTGTTCTGGTGCCCATTTTTAAGAACAAGGGTGATGTACAGAGCTGTAGCAACTACAGGGGAATTAAGTTGATGAGTTGCACGATGAAGATCAGGGAGAGAGTTGTGGAAGCTAGACTTAGACAAGAGGTGACTATCTGTGAGCATCAGTATGTCTTCATGCCAAGAAAGAGCACCACAGATGCCATCTTTGCTTTGAGGATGCTGATGGAGAAGTACAGAGAGGGTCAGGAAGAACTCCATCGTTTCTTTGTGGATTTAGAAAAATCATCTGACAGGGTGCTGAGGGAGGAGGTGTGGTATTGCATGAGGAAATCTGGAGTGGCAGAGAAGTATGTTAGACTGGTACAGGACATGTATGAGGACAGCAGGACAGTGATGAGATGTGCTGTAGGAGTGACAGATAGTTTCAAGGTGGAGGGGGGAGTGCATCAAGGATCGGCTCTGAGCCCCTTCTTGTTTGCTCTGGTGATGGACCGACTAACAGATGAGGTCAGGCAGGAATCCCCATGGACAATGATGTTTGCAGATGACATTGTGATCTGTGGTGAGAACAGGGAACATGTGGAGGAGAATTTGGAGAGGTGGAGGTATGCACTTGAAAGAAGAGGAAGGAAAGGAAACTTAGTAAGACAGAGTACATGTGTGTGAATGAGAGGGAGGAGGTGGAACACTGAGACTACAAGGATCAGAGGTCACAAAGGTGCAGGACTTCATGTACTTGCAGTCCACTGTCCAGGAAAACAGGGAGTGTGGTAAAGAGGTGAAGAGAGTCCAGGCAGGGTGGAGTGGATGGAGAAAAGTTTCAGGAGTGATTTGTGACCAAAGGGTGTCAGCAAAGGTCAAAGGAAAAGTTTACAAGACAGTGGTGAGATCAGCTATGTTGTCTTGTCTGGAGACAGAGACATGGACAAAAAGACAGGAGGCAGAACTAGAAGTGACAGAAATAAAGATGTTGAGGTTCTCCTTAGGAGTGACAAGGATGGATAAGATTAGGAATTAGATCATCAGAGGTACAGCACAGGTTGAACAACTGGGAGATAAAGTTAGAGAGACTAGACTGAAATGGTTTGGACAAGTCCAGAGGAGGGACAGTGGGTATATTGGTAGAAGGATGTTAGAAATACAGCTGCCAGGAAAAAGACAAAGAGCAGAAAGCATATTGATGCAGTTAGAGAGGACATGGAGGTAGTTGGAGTGAGGACAGAGGATGCAGAGGATGAGTTGGTGTATTGACCCCTGAAAAGGGAACATCTGAAAGAAGAAGAGTTAAAGATTGGTCAGATGGAAGTCCAAGTGAGATTCGTACATGTGAGAGTTCACAAAGGTTATGGCCCTGGGAAAGAAACTGTTTCTCAATCTGTTAGTTCTGGTTTTGATATATTTGCAGCACATGCCAGAGGGGCTGTTTGAACCTGCCAGTTCAAACTGTTGAGATATGGAGTGACAGCTGTCCTTAGATATGTTCTGTGCTCTTCAGAGACAGTGGGACATGTAGATGTCCATCAGGGAGGGAAGAGGGCAGCCATCAATCTTCTTTGCTGTCTTGATTACCTTCTTGAGCCTCATTTTGTCTGTCTCAGTTTTTCTCCCGTATCTTACTGAGATACAGTACGTCAGGAGGCTCTCAATGAATGAGCAATAGACGGTCAGCAGCAGTTTTTATTATCCAGGTTGCTCTTCGTAAGAACCCTTAGGAAGTGTTGTTGCTGCTGGGCCTTCTTGATGACAGTTGTGACGTTATCTGTCCAGGAGAGGTCAGCAGAGATCAAGACACCCAGGAACCTGATTGTATGAGTGCCCATACAATCAGGTTCCCCACACTCACAGTTGATATAGAGGGGGGCCAGGTCAGTTCTGTGCTTCCTGAAGTCCACGATGATCTCCTTTGTTTTTATGGTGTTCAATACCAGATTGTTCTCTGAGCACCAAATAGTTAATTTCTGGACCTAAGCTATCTCGTCTCTCTTTGAGATGAGTCCAACCACTGTAGTAAGATAATGAAATATACAAATAAGATACAGATTTATTTATTATTATTAAATGAAAAACACAAAGTTTTTTTTCATTATGGTCTTCAATGTTTGGTATGTTTTTCACTAGTATTAGTCATTTTTAATGTGTTTTAATCATTGCTTCATTGACTTTTCAATATAATTAGTGAAACTAATTGAAATGTGCCAGGATGTTGTATCATATAATCAAATTATTTAAAAAAGTTAAAATTAAGTTCCCTGCTGCTAAAAAGCCCAGGAAAATTATACCAACTTTGTTCAAATGGGTTTGAGAATTAATGAAATTCTGGCAACTTTAGTGGTATAAAAAATACAATTCTTCTGTTGTTTTAAGGCTTCAAAAGGCTTAAAAACACAGTTTCAGGTCAAAATATTTTTCTGAAAGTTGCTTAGAATGTAAAAAAGACGTTACAATAAAGTCTTACTTACCTTTTAATGAATAAATAGACTGATGAGCTAATGGCTAGTCCAACCAAGGGCAAGTTCAACCCAACTCCAATATCACAAATTTCATAGCAGTTCATGCAAATGCAATTTAAAAAACTTTAGCTCTGTTGTTAGTTTCACATTGTACGATTATTCCTACAGGAATATTTTTTACTTCTGGCAAAAGCGGCCCAGATGGCATCAAAATTGCTACAGCTAGCTGCTGATGTTTGTGTTAGCAAATGAAAACAGACTTATATGTAAATAACTGTATAATGCTAAATTTATGGTGATGTAAAGGCTTGTAAAATGTTCATCTGAACCACTGCAACATTTTAGGATGCAGCTACACTTTATCCAAGTTGCAATCTTTCAAAGTTATTCTATCTACAACAGGTAAGATAATAATCATTCATACTTTTTCCATACAACTTGATTTTAACAACATATCCAACTGTCTAAGTTGGTATCAAATCTGCCAGGACTTCTAAATTAACTTTTTCACGCAGACAACCCACAGAATGATAATTTAGTTTTGTTAAATATATTATTGGATTCATGATAGCAGGGTTTCTGCTTTTTGGCATCGTTGGGTTCCTATGCTATCGGCTTTTGTGGAAGACATCGGCAGCAGTTTCGGCCATGACAAAACTGTCAAGTCTGTGTGAAGGTTTGGTTTGTGCTACAAGTACTCAAAATCAGCTGTTTACGAGCTAAACAATTAAATAGAAGCGATTTGTGAGAATTGTAGGCCACCTGTGGCTTCTAGGACTTACCAGCATGTTGGAGACGACCTTGAAGGAGTCTGCACGGATCAGTGGAATGCCCACAAATCTGACCATCTTGGATCGAAAGTACCAGCAGGACTCAAGGTTGACAAGGACGAAAACAGTCTGCCTGAAGAAATCAACAATTGTGGCTTATCTGACTCCCCCGTTTGGCCTCGAAAGCAGGCCGACTATCAAATTTCTCCTGGGAAAAAGCTTTGTCAATCGCACCCCCCGAGAACTTCTGTGCAGGCTTATCAGAACTGCCGTCTGTCTGACCAACATCTTATCAGGACTATGGTCTATCTGGAAATGCTTCATGGACAAATCTCACCATCTTGTTGTCAAATGCATTTATAATGTGTTATAAATGTGCTTGCAGGTAGAGTTTTTTTGATGTCTTAAATCATGTCCTGATAGGACAAGGTGTGAAGAGATCTTGTAATACCACTATCCATACTCATGGTCTTTTCCCTTCTTCTATCTAAAAGTATTCTCATAAATGATAAGGGGCCACACTCCTGCAGCAGCAGCAACGTGCACTCCGCCCATCTTTCGGACGATTGTACAAACATAATTTCACTGTATCTTGGTACAATGATAATAAAACTTCTTCTGATTCTGATAAAAATAAAAAACAGGAAACTAAACACGTTGAAATATCTCCTGTGCAATTTACTGAAAGCAGAGTTTTTGTTCGTTTGTGTGCTTTTCTTGCTACTCTGCTGCAGAAACTGTTTACAAGCTTTATGATGTAGAATTAATTTGTCATGTCTCTTTCACAGATTCACAGCTGGATTTTCTCGACCGCTAGAACAAAGAAAAAAAAAAACCTGTCATCCTTGATAGAAGTTTAGGAGTACTCTGCAGGCAGCTGGACCTCCATCATTCGTGGAGTTCCCTCCAAGTGGGTGTCTCTTCACTCAGGACACAGAGATTTTTAAGGGCTGAACTTAAGCTGAAAGCAGTGGATCTGGAGACTGAAGCTACCAGGGAGAAAACTGTGGTCTAACTTCAGGCAGCTGTACTGACATGACAGCAATAATCCAGGGAGCAGCGGGGAAAGAACAGAAAACATCTGCAATGAACAGAGCAACAGGTAATTTAACAGCAGAGCACAAAGTGACAGATTTACTATAATATGCTTCTTGGTCATGGTGCCATTTAAGCTGCAGTAATTTAGACAGCTGGTATGTAATATATATTATTTTTTTATATTTGTACCAACCTGTTGTTTGAACTTTCAGTGTGTGACAATGTGAGGTTGTGTTTATCCCAGCTAAAAGCTTTAAAATCCTTTTAAATGCAAAATACAATTGATGTGTTTCTGAATGTCTCAAACAAAAGAACAGTAGGTTGTTACACAGATATAAAAATAATATACCTGAAATATACTGGATGCCTCAAATTTTCTCCCGGGGATTAAGAAAGTATCTGTCTATCTGCCTGTCTGCCTGTCTGTCTATCTGTCTATCTGCCTGTCTGCCTATCTGTCTGCCTGTCTGTCTATCTGTCTGCCAGCCTGTCTATCTGTCTGCCTGTCTATCTATCTGCCTGTCTGTCTATCTGTCTGCCTGTCTGCCAGCCATTGCAACCCTTAAATGACTCATAATTTCAAACTATCCTTGTAAGCATGGTTCCATGGATTTTCTTCTCCTGCATTAATCTCCATATTAATTATATTTCACAACAAAGAACAGATCAAATTCATGATTAATATCTTATACAGTAAACACAGTGGGGTTGCAGTCCCTTATTGCATTTAATTTCTTTCCAGAGGAAAATTGCTGATCCATTATGAATTATCTTTAAATTCAAGTTTGGCATTTGATAGAATGGATTATGAGATGTTTGGCAGGATGTGTCATACTGAAGGACACAGTAATTTGTTGTAGTCTACAATAATTTGCATCAAATCCTAGATGAAGTGATGGAATGTGAATCTCTGGGCGAACTTTTCAATGAACAAATTCAATATGGATTCACTAGGTTGAAACGAGCTAATTGTTTCCAGTTGTATCCTTTTCCTGAATAATAAATAAAGAGCAAACAACTCTAACATCTATAAGTTGGTCGCCAAAGAGAACTTTGTTTTAACAATTTGGGATGTAGTCAAACATTTCTCCAACACAAAACTGGCTAAGATGCTACCAGATGTGGTTCTTAGAAGACAATTGATACCAGAGTTTGATACATGGTTGCAGAAGATTGTGGGAAAATAACGCACAAGTCATCTCTCATTAATCTGGAATGAGGTCGTATCAAAAACATCAAACAGACCACTGAAGACGAACGTCATGGAGGACAGCCCATATTTCACAACAGCTCT